CCCTTACTTTATTTCACTGACAGCATACTCTTATTTCAAAATTCTCATAAAGCACCAAGGCAAATACGACGTGATATCAAAATTTGAGCTTCGCTTTGTTCTGAATAGTGTGGTGCGCAGGACGTGTGCTGCCTACTGGATCGTTGCTTCCAATATCCGCGGCGTAGCGCCCGCGACTGCGGCTGTCAGTTTGCCCTACTGCACGCTGCGCCGGACGACCAAGCGGGCAGCTAGCGGAGTCCGGCCCGCGCGATGGCGCGGGCTTGCCCCCAGTGCCAGTGTCGGTGTACCGGGTGCGACCACCAAGTAAGCTGGCACGCTTACTAGTGTGTTCGAAGGCTGGAAAACGGTAACCATTTTGTATGCTCGTAACAATCCATATATATTTATTTGGATATTCCAGTATAAATATTTCCAATAATTATATTCCTTTAAATACCGAAATATGCATGTAGACTGAAAAGCACTTAAATTAGCACATTAAGTTACAAACGAGCACAGCTTATATGAAATTGTGAAAATAATTTGTATTATAAGTTTGTATATAAATGTAAAATTATGAAATTTTATTTTATAATTAATAATTTTCTATATGAAAAAACGACATTCATGGTTTATACATGTACGTACACCGGCTTCTATTATTAAATTTATTGGAATATCCATAATTTATATATTATTGTTCAAGCATGCAAATAAGGTGCCTTTTCTATACCTTCACGAGTCGCGACACGTCACAGTCGGTTACGCTAAACCCAGAGCACGCTATCACGTTTTGATTCGCACCAGTTTTACCTATCACCTGATCTAATTTTTAATAGATTGACTAGAATTGGATTTTGGATGAATGTCACGGCACCGTGGAATGATTCACTTTATGCTAAACTGGAAAAAAACCTAGAGTATCTTACAAGGACATTGACATAAAAAAAAAAAAAAATTAATTAAGAACTCTCACGAAAGATTCATTACGCATATTGAAATACTCGGCTTGTTCACTGGATTTTTAAAATTGGTAAGATGTCTTCTATATATTTCTTTTATGAAATCAATGTAAGTCATTTTAATGTTTTTTTTTCAATACATGTATTACATGGCTATTCATTTGTGTAAATCGCGTCCATTACTTAAAGAACGCGTTTTACGCAAAATTTATGGACGATTGCATCTGTAGATAGTATTTAAATAATACTAACTACAGATGCAAGAAGTTAAAATGGCTACGTCACTAATATTTACAATATGCATTTTGGTAGTAAAAATTAAGTTATAAAAATCGACACAAACTCTACCTACATACCTATACTATGAATCGTGGAAGATTATAATCATATTATGATCTATGGAATAATTTAACCCGTACTGATTTTAGAAATTGTTTCACTCTCCTTATTTACTCGGGCAAGTTCGCTGGAACAATGCTAGTAAAAAACAAAAGTTTGTTATTAATATATTCGAACCATCCAATATTACTCAAAATCAATTTATGATCCTTTGGTATACAAGAAGAATAAATAACAAAGTAAACGAATGAATTCGAAACACATTTAGCATTTAATCTGAATAAATTATTAGTTAATTCTAGTCGAGTTAATAGTATACACGTTTGACCTATTTTACCAACACCATTCGCTTTTGTGATCCTTTCCACGTCACTATAAAAGCCTTGTTCTACATTCCGAACGTGATAATACACACTGCTATCCGTTGGAAGTTTAACATTTAGTTCCAAGGATGTGAGTAAATTGAATTGGAATAACGGATATTAGATTGTTACAAAATTCGTAGAAACGTTATTTAAATTTTTAGTTAAATCCCTAATTACTTAAACTTTATATGACAGAATGGCATCAACAGTTACGTGTACTTACTAAGTTTTAATATGGTTGTCAATGTTTTTTGATCCTTGATATATATATTATATACTCCGCCGCACAATGAGTTAATAGAAAACCAATCAATTTTTCCTTATTGGTCTACAGGCAGTCCAACCCAAGAATTGTCATTACTTTAAAGCGACGTTACTAATACTAATTTGACATTCATTAGAGATTAAAGGCGTCATTAAAACCTTAATGGACGTTTGTGCAACTGGCCGCAAGTCTTAAAACTCATTGAAGAATCTTTTCTTATAACCAGACAAGCTGTCGATTGTACATCAAATGAAAAATTATAAGAACTTTTCGCTGTAACTTACTATAATTCAATGTGCCTCGTTTCTTATTTAATATGATTACGTCATTAGAACAGAGTAGATAATGATTTGTAGATATAACATGACAAAATACATATTTTCCGAACTGCTATCAAAATTGAATTGAAATTCATACTACTTATATCCAACCACCTGTTTGATTGTACCTAAATTTAAGTAACCACAATAAATTCTGATGTTAATTTCCTCAAAAAATTTACTGGATGAATGTAACCTTTATAACTCAATTTCGACCAATTTTACAGGAGAGCAATTAAATAAATTAAAAAAATATATACAATATAGTTTTATTTCATGTATTTAATTTCAAGCACGTCGATAGTTTGAAGAACGCGGACAAAGAAATGTTAAGAAATATTTAAATCATAGCTACTCTTTCTGAGTTACGTGAAAAATGAGAGTTGTGAGGTTTTAATATAATGATAAATGAACCCCAATTCGTTACGTTTATATAGTCAAAAAATATATTTATTTTAATAGTTTAAAAAGCACATAAGATATTTATTATGCAGTTTTGGTACTCAGTCAACAAATGAAATATTTTTTCTTTTTAAATTATTTTGAAACATGAATTAAGGTTATTGCAACCGTTGACAATTACTATTAATATGAGACTTAATTGAGATCAATATTAATGAAATTTTTACTTATATAATTAAAAAATGATATTGAAACAATACATTTGAACAAAAGAAAATTAAAATTTGACAGATTGAAACGATGAGTAAAGTCCACAGTGGCCGAATGATGGCAGGCGTCCCGGGCGAGATTATCTGATGGAAGCATGTTCGAATCTTGCTCAGAAATATAAAATATAAATATAAAATCAGACATCATACATATTGATCCGATTCCGAGGTAAGTAGCTTAGGTACTTTAGTCACGGATATCGGTAACAACGGAGGGAATACAAATATATACATAATATAAATACTCGTAGATAGAAAACACCCAGACACAGAACAGACATAATTTTTAATCACAAAAATGTTTGTCCTGGGTGGGGATCGAACCCACTACTCTCGGCCCAATAATAGGAAGGCTACCACCACACCATTGAGCCCGTCAACAGTCAGCTCATGAATTATCTTTTTATTTTACCCAATTTTACAACCTAAAAATAACAAGGTGGTCCAGACACACAACATCAAGCCATTATTTTACCATCGTAAAATACATTGTGGAGGAACTTACGTGATTTGCTTTAAAAAAAAGAGATTTACGAGGTATGTTTGATATGATTTTTTAGTGTGGCCCGCTGTATAAAAACACAATGATTAAATGAAAATAAAATACTCTTTTTATACAACCATTGTGATTAAAATGCCAATTTCGTCCAGAAATGAATTTACGAAGTTTGCATATCAAAGCGACGACAAATGACAGAAAAAGAAGGACACAAAATTTTAATCTTAAATAAAATTCAACCACAAAAAGCTTCAATACAAAAAGCGAATACGCCACCAATTTTTTTTGAGTCAGCCATGTCCTTAGAAGTTAAACAAAACTATCAGAAAATGCGTCTTATGAGATTATGTTTCTCTTACCTTACATTCTATTTTTTTTTCCATAAATATCTGGTGCTGGCCTCAAAAAATTTGCTTGTGTATCTAATTTTTGTTATTTATTTTATTGATTTTATTTAAGATAAAATTTTAGTGATATAATTTCTCTCTTTTCAATCGTGATAAAGAGAACTTGAGAAAATAGAACTAGTCGCTAAACCTTCTTCTTTAATCTCTATGTATATTGATATATTAAAAGCCGTTGAGCAGTTTAAAAAAATCTCAGTGTACAAACAGCGGGAAGCGACTTTGTCTTATACTATGTATAGAAATAGGAATACAAACTAGTAGATATAAGTTTCCTGTTAATCTAGCAGACGTTGAGTTGTCCAAACCATTTACAACGTAGCATCATTTCCCAGTTTCTTCAGTTGTCAAACTTCCCAGAAACAACTTATATCTCATCCATTAGAAATCTTATTCGCACTATTACGAACATTTCTAACAATACTTTTGAGGAAGTTACAAATGAAATGTATTTTCACAATGCACGAAAGTGTTCCTTCAACTTAGTAATTATTTCATCTGAAACAATAGTACAAATTCTCTACCTACACGGACCTAACTCGAGGATCGCGTGTTACAATGACAGTTGTATTATAACGTGGCCATCTTCAAAAATTCATAGAAGTGATTCGCGAAAATGGACTTTACGTGGTGACGATAAAGTTAATTAAACACGTCGAACGCAACACGGAATCGTGTTGCCTTTTCACGGTGGGGAAAAAAAAGTGAATGTCGCAACATCGCATGTTCCTAATGACAATCGTGTCATGGGGATATTTACTAAAACACTCAAATTCAGGTCACAGGCCGAACGAAAATATAATTTTGAAACACTCAATATGAATCAAAAATGAAAGAAATCGATGTCTATAGCAAAATAAGAATCACATAAAATATGAACCAACAATAACTACTACTAAGAAAAAATAATTACTAATTAAAAAAAGGTTTTCATACAGTCTTGTTTTACTTTATTAGTTACATTTTATCATCTGTTTTCAGATAAAAAAGTCACATAATGTTATCGTTTGAAAAACAGAAAAAAAAGAGATTAATTTTTAATATTACAAAGAAAATATAAATTATAAAAGTCTCATTCGCTCAAAATTGCAAATTAAAGGTAGAAGCGTCACGCGAAACTCTGAAAGAAATTAAACGGAAAGTTTTGAACAAGGCTCTATCTACTTGGACTAACTTTTCGCAAAGAAAAAGCGATGGCTCGAACAATACCCGCATACTCGGTGACAATCATAAGTTGAGAATCAAATGTTGTTTCGAGATAAGCCAATATTATATTATAAACTTTTTTAGGATCTTTAATTTTCTTTATTGTAAGTAAATAAGCAATAAACTATCTACTTTTTGTGCTGAAAGGAAGAATATTTTTGATTTTTCCAATTTCAAATTATGTATATATACATACATAAATGTATAGTCTTCTAAGTGAACACGAAACATATAGAGAATCCGAAACGTTAGAAAAACGATTTAGTGTTTTTAAAAATACACGCACTATACCGTTTAAAATTTGTTTTATATAATGAAGTGAAGCTATAGAATAAAGAAATATTAACTTTATAATAACAAATTAAATTTTATTTTATGTATTAATAAATTACCCAGTCTTACTTAAAATGGCAAAAACATTGTAAAAAGTGTAACAGCCGTGTAAAAAATTGTGTTATGTAAAAATTTAGCCTTTGGCAAATGTATTGAAAAGTTTTTAAATAATACAGAATGTTCTCATCTACTATCTTAGATTATTAGTATGGTGTAATTATTTCATATGTATCAATTTTGTTTATTATATTTTTTGCAGCACATGCGCTGGTCTCACACGCACACACAGAGTTTGGAGTGTGAGGAGCGACTCCTTGCGAGATGCAACAGGCCTCGAGTCAACTCTGCCATATTTGTATCAGCCGAGCCGACGGGTTTTGCCGCTTTCGATGCAGGAGAGTTCTTGAGACGTCATGGCTCACAGTCCAAATTATGCCGCAAGGCTAGGTAAACATTTCCCCTTAAGGAAATTTTTATTTGTATATCGACACACGGGTACAATTACAATGACAATTGATAGTAATCAATGATAACTATGGCAACGTTTTAATTCTCTTTGCAAACTTCCACTCCCATTTTCATAAAAGTGATTTTTTTCCGGATAAAATACATGATTACCACATATGATGTAGCTGTAGGTGAAAGAATTTTTAAAATTGGTCCAGCAATTTCGGAGCAAAACAAAAATACAATCAAATCTTTCCTCTTTATAATATTTGTATGTATAGATAAAATCTTCTTTATTTGCAAATGCAATTGGTTTAGAGGCAAATAAAATAGAATAGGACAAAAAATATACGAAATTTCCAAGGAGGCATCGGCAACATCTCACAAAAATACTTATACCTATATTATAAACCATGAAACAAGTTAAACATGTTTTTATAAAGACTATATTTGAAATATCGGAAAACTAATAAATTACATTATTAATTATTTTTTCAGATCAGCAGATAATATACCACTCACTACACTCAGCGATTCATCTGAACGCCTTTGTAAAATAAAACAAAGAGAAGAAACTATCAACGAAGAAGCAAGCAAATCAGACGACAGTAGTAGTGTTGAAACTGTGAAACATTTTGGTCTACCAATTCTGTCCGTTTCCGGTCCGTCGCCCCCCGATGAGGACTACGACCAGATAGATGAGTATCTGTAGCATTTCCATACCGGTTTCCAGCTCAAGTATGTGCTGGAAAAAATGCGGCCTCCTTGGCCCAGTCCTGCTCCAAGTCCTTAAGCTGAGAATATTTGGCTGACATGAACATTTATGGAATTACCTTAGGATTATTATCTCTTGTGATATGGTGTACTCTTAGTGAGTGTGTGTTAAAATTATTGGATCCGGCAGTATTCAACGAATGTTCGGGAACTCTCGCCTAAAATTCTCGTCAGTAGCTATATAATGCGTGTCTTGTTGAGGGACCATAGTCTTTACAGAATGGTGTTTCTTTTGTCAGTCCTTAGCATTGATATTTTTGTATCTATATCCTCTTGTGTCTTTGATGAGTGTCTAAAGTAAGGTTAAATCTACAAATACTTAGATTTTTAATATCACCTAATTGTAATTAAGGATTGCACAATAAATTTATGATCTATAATGACGTCTATATTAACAGTGCCACTTTTAAATACTTTAAGTCTTTTAAGAAAACGGGATGGATGTCATCATATTCTTTAAGGCGAATTAAGATATCAAGAAAACTATGTATATAGTTATTCCTATGCAGTGTCTTAGATATTATCATTTAATCTAGTATCATGATTATTTGAATAATTTGTATGTATGACAGTAGATATTATACGAGGGTCAAACTGAAAGTTCTTAGAACTGGCCACTTATAAACAATATAATAAAAAAATAATTCTAAAATTTGAAAATATAACTCTTTGTCAATATTACTGAGTATATATTTCATTCATTTGTCATTTGTTTTACGATTTGGCGGCAAATTGAAAATTGTCTGTGTCACGTCATCATGAATTTAACACGAGAAAATTTTCGTGCAATGATTTTTTATGACTTTCGATGTCATTTAAGTCAACAAGAAAGTTATGATAGACTACGATTGGCCTTTCACGATGAAGCCCCATCTCGTGCGACTGTTTACAACTGGTTTAATGAGTTTAAACGTGGTCGCACTAATCTCACTGATGATTTACGTGAGGGACGGCCTTCTACGGCGACGACTGAAGATAACATCTGTGTTGTGCGGCGTATGATAGAGACTGACAAAAGAGTGACCTATCAACAGATTCGGACAAGCTTAGGCATCGGTATGAGTCAAGTGCACAAAATCCTCCACGAACATTTAGCGGTCAGGAAGCTTTGCGCCCGGTGGATACCTCATAATTTGACTGAGGCTCAAAAACTCCATCGTGTGGATTGGTGTCGTAAAATGATTGAAAGATTTAACGGAGGTGACTCAAATGCTGTGTTCGACATACTAACAGGTGACGAAAGCTGGATTTACTGTTATGATCCTAAAACCAAAAGACAATCTGCTCAGTGGGTGTTTCCTTTCGAGGAGTTGCCAACTAAAGTGAAGAGAGATCGAAGTGCGGGAAAAAAAATGGTGGCCTCGTTCTTTGGAAGGATAGGTCATTTTGCAACAATTGTGTTAGAGGATCAAAAAACAGTTTCTGCAGAATGGTACACTACCAATTGTTTGCCACTTGTCTTGGAAATAGTTCGAGAGAAACGACCTCGCAGTAGGATCCTCCTTCACCACGACAACGATCGACTATTTGGCGACATCAAACGTTGAATTACTGGGTCACCCGCCGTATAGCCCCGACCTCGCGCCTTGTGATTTTTATTTATTTCCAAAAATTAAAGAAAAACTTAAAGGAAAGCGGTTTATGAATGCTGAAGAAGCGGTGGCTGCGTATCGCGATGCCATTGAAGAGACCCCTAAGGACGAGTGGGCAAAGTGCTTTTCCCAGTGGTTCCATCGCATGCAGCGGTGTATTGACGTGAATGGACAATATTTTGAAAAGATATAATAAAACTAATAACTGGCTAATGTAATCAGTTTTTGATTTTCTAAGAACTTTCAGTTTGACCCTCGTATTGAAATAATTTTTTATTGCTTGATAAATTAGATGCAAATGATATCATCTTAAGTGTATGTAATATTAGCTATTATCCTGACTGACATGAATTTTTCAACGTTTTAGTGTCTAATAATGATTTGTAGATTAGTGTATTAATAGATAAAAACAAACATAATGACACTAATATAAATGGAAACGTTGAATAAGTTATGTTTTAAATTCAGACTTGTAGTAATAAATCTATGAAAGATGTGAAGGTTGAATTTTGGTCCAATGATAATTATGTCTTATCTGCACATGGTGTTTTAGAGAGTAAGAAAAAGTATTGTTTTACTAGGAAAAGAGTTGGTTTTGAGGGATACGCTATATAACAATGTGTGTTTAGTTTGATTAAAGTAACATTATGATTCTTAGAGACATATTAAAGAAATGCTATTTATTCGTTTTCTTCTATAGTTATTTTTTTATATCATTAAACGTATTTTACTATACAGATTTATACTGTCAATTAAAAATCGACATTGTATAAAGTATGTACGTTTCGAAATTTTTAATATAGATACAATTTAAGCTAAGTCTGGCACTACAATTATTGGCACGAGTAAATTATTATAGATATTGTAAAGTTAGTTTCTCAGTAACTGTCGTCTAAACTGGTGCTTGGGGACCAGAAGGACAAATACATGTCAAAGTAGGCCTTATATCCAAGTCATGGGGTATCTCAAACTTATCGATGTAAAGATATACTATATCTATTTCAGAGCTAAGACTTTGTAATTCCCTCCATTTATAAATTTATCCTTCGTTTTATTTTAAATGAGAATGTTGCATGAGAGTTATATTACCGATTTTCATCATCGTCTATCAATGGACAGATAGTTTTGTAAATATTATTCCATTAATATTTAGTTTCCACCAGGAAACATCAATACAATCTTCTATTTTAGACAAATCTTATAATTTAATTATTATATTTAACGTAAAAAATATTGTTTCATTAGAAGTAATGGAGATCTTGCAAACTATTGCAAAAGTTATGGATATGTATTCGGTGTGAATATATTCAAGAAAAGACATTGTGGATATGGTGTGGCGGTTTACTATTTACAAAATATGTAAAAGTAGTGTCAGTTGGTCCTGTATCATACATGACATTAAAGGTTTCATTTTAAAATATAAATTACACTGTGATTTTTTGCAATGACACAGTAAGGAAAGGTCAATATGCCTATGACCTTTTGCTTTTTGGCTTCTTGTCCTGACTTCGTCCACCATTGTAGGTGGGCGGAGCCAGCAAGTGCAGCGGGGGCGACTACTGCGGGTTTATCTCATTGGTCATAAAAAAACGACTGACCAATGAAAGCGAGCCACAGATGTCGGCAAATACGCAAGCGGACGTTATTGAATAATGTAAATGAGCCAATAGAAGACCATAACTTTTAAAGATACTCTGAACTGCACTTACAGATGTTAGAAAAAAAATAACAACAACGCGACAAAATACAATAACGATGCTACTGCATGTGGAAATCAAAAGATTCAATGACGATTTAAGGTACGAACTATAAATGATAGAAATCAAAATATAGTTTTCATTTTGCACGGAAAAATGATAATCAACTCGAAATATTCTTTATTGAAAAACGATTCTATTTCATCAAGCGATTAAAAAACTCATGATTCCCCTGTGTGTGTATAGAAACTGCGATAACTCATAAGTAATGAGTTACCGCAGTTTCCATAACACCGACCTCATATGCAGACTTAATATTATACAATATCAGAATAAAAAGTCACAAGTAACAAGTGGTGAAATAGGTACTAAAATTAAAAAAAAGTGATCCATGAAATAATATGCTCAAAATAACTGCTGGTTTCGCGAATATATAAATTCAATCGTTGTTGAATGAGTAATTTAATCCGCAGAAATGCGTCTTTCAGATTCTAAACTCGGGTGATTTCCGGCATTTCTATTTCATGTAGATATGTAATAGTAGAATATTATTATGTAATAAACTAAAATGATTCCATAGAATCTTTTGATCCCCATATAAATATGTAGTGAAAGGCAGTGTCTCTGTGCAAGTATTTATTTTATGGTTGGATTAGTGTGGATACGCCGCATATTATAATACCAATAGTAAAAAGCTTTTATTCATTAAACTGTTTGTTTTGTAATATAGTTCATAATAAATATAGACTATAATAAGTGACATATATTCCCAGAGATTAGAGCTGTAATTTTTTTCGAAAATATTAGTAGTATTAAGTGATTAGTAGAAATTCCCTCATGTTTGTCGAACTTGTCCTGTGCCAAGTTTTAATTATCGCAATTTCTATACTGTTACCTTAAAAGATAAACCAAATGTTTTTTTAAATATAATCTTGATTATTGCGAGTTATGTTTAACTTAATGGATATATTTATCATATAACTAGAAGGCATGGAGCGATTTCATACTCCGCTACGCATGGTTACAATTTATAACCTCATATAACCTAACCTATTTTATTATTAGTATCTATCATTTTGATTAGTTAATATATATTATATTGGATTAATTTATAGCAATAAAGTAATTTTGAAAGACATTTTCGAGAATTTGTTAGAAATGGTCTTTTATTGTTATATCCGTAATATTAAAAGTATATAAAATTTGTTTTCATATTTTTATTCATTTGATATGATTATTTGTTAAATTTACTCGAGTAGTCTGAATTACTTACAATATTAAAAAAAAGATATAATTAAATTTACATTGTATGAGTTGAATGTATATTACGTTATATTTATTATTCAAAGAAAATTACCAATTACTATAGAAAACATTTCCATTAACACAAAGTTTTATATAAAACTAAATAAATTAGATTTTACATGATTTTAAATATTGTAAGTAGAAAATTTTAAGAATTTAGCTATGTACATATCTAAAAATGACACGATAATTTTAATAAATGCTCATAAATGTAATGTAAATTATTATAAAAAAAAAATCTAATAAGAATATTGTAAAATTATTATTTACATCCTTACGTCTATTTACTATCACAATGAAATAAATAATAAAACAAGAAATTTGTTTTATTTATATAATAGGGGTGATGACTAATTTTTGTTTGTTTGTCCGTCAGGTAAAGTGTTAAAAAATATTAAACAAATATTTTTTTCGTAAATATAAAATTACGGCGTTATTGATTTGATATTTCGCAAGACGTCACGTTAGGGTACGTTTTCTACTCAACTGTGACGTAGCGAGCCCCCACTCCTCAACTTTAATGCCTGACATCTAAGCTATTTCTTGTTAAATTGAATTAAAAAAAATACATATCTAATATTTTTCTATTATCTGACTGACGGACTAAATAGAATTGCATTTTTTTACCCAGTCATCATCCCTATTAAAATATATATATTATTTAACATATTATGATTCATGCTCACATATACAAACTCGAGAACGTTTTGCCTACACCCAAATGTCATTTTTCTCGGACCCGCCCATACGATATCACACTCTCGACAAAAGTGACATTTGGTGTAAATTTAAATTTAAAATAATAAAAAAAAACCCTTAACTGAAATCTTTTTGTATTTTACATCATCATCATCATGATCAGCCCTTTTCACAATGGCTCATGGAGGATTATGGATGGTTAAGGAGGATGGGCCATAACTCTCCCCGCTGGCCCAGTCTTAGCCACTGCAAATGCAGCAGCAAATTTCGGAAGACACGCTAAGACCAACGACTTAACGTGTCTTCTGAAGCACGGAGTAGCTCAACATAATATTTTTTGGTCACCCATCCCTAGCCCGACCGTCGCGAAAATTGCTTAATGACAACAATAGCGTGCCGCGGCGCTTATCCCCTACGCCACCGAACTACTATTTCGCGTGTTAAGGGTAATGCATTAAATCCTCCGGGCTGATTATGGATTCTGCAACAGATACAGAGTGGTACACAGCGTTGTCAGGGCCATGGGCATTAAAGGCTCAGGCAAATATAAGATTTAGTACCTTTTGAAGAAGGTTTAATATAATCGCATTTCTGATGCTATGATAACTCTATGTTCGACGCCGTATATGCTACATAACAGCTGATTTAGGACAATGTCAGAAGTGAAGCCCTTACATATTTATTATTGTTATTAGAGAGGCAACAAAAATTCATCATCAGTGAAAATTTTAACTGTTGCCCCGGGCGCGGGCCCAGGGGGGGCCCGGTTCGGTCCTGTATTTAGTAAATAAAGCATTTTAGAATTTTTAGGCCTATATAAAACAGAGTGTATTACACTTGATGGGTCCTGATAAGATTATATTTGATTTAATCATTGTTTCAACTAATTCCTTCAGCCATCTTGTATACAGAGACTTTCCTTTTTAATCCGTCCTTAACATTAAAATAAAGTTAATTATATGTGTTGATTAATGATTATATAAAATTTAGTCAATCATAATTTGCCATGCCATGCCATAATCGTAACTTTGAGGAATGAATAAATTGGAACTTCTCTGAATACGCTCTCTATTCACCAATAACTGTATTTAAAGTAGTTAAAATAAAAAATCCTATGAGTGATTGGATATAGAATTTTCGTTTCATGCTAATTTATGGCATTTTTATGGTTTTGTAATTGGTTGGTAATTAAATAATTGGTTGGTATTATGAATACTTAAATTTTCAATTCTTTAGTTACACTTTATTTTATTTATTTAATTAAATGTAGAATAAAACGTAGTGATGTAAGAGTTCAGCCCCTTCAAGTGTTCTTATTCGAACACTGAACCTTGTTAGAAATATAAATGATTTATTGTTTGGTTAAAAATAGAGTTAGAGAAGGTTTAATAGTTTTTTTTTAACAATTATCATAGCCATCTCTAGTAAAAGTGGCGCGACGAAAAATAAAAGGGGGGGCGGGCATGGCCAGAATCTGGTCCCGGGCCCGACTAGGAGATGTGGCGGCCCTGGGCGACAGACAGACAGACAGCAAGGTATTACTAATAAGGTTATCGTACCCTCTGTGTACAGAACCCAAACAAAATGCTTTAACCTTCTTTCAATTCTTTAGTTCCAAGATTAGATTATTCTATAATTTTAATATATATTACAAAAATCTGTATTGTATTTTATATCATTGTATACAGATCAAAAGCATTTTAATCAAGTAAAAGAGGCGTCGCTGAGTACAAAAGCAGCCGACTGGAAAGGTTTCTCTTGCTCATTTAATTCTGCTAAAAGGTTGTATGGATTTTATATTATTATCATATTTATGAGTTCGTTCGATTTTATTAGAGATAGGAACCATATTTCATAATTTAATTATTGTCTACATAGTAGACTTTATTTATCTCCAATACAGGTGCTATTCAGCACTGTTTAATAAAAGTAACGTAAAGTCCAAAATTCTATTTAGAACCGACTTCAAACTTTAAAAAATTTTTGATGATTGAATATTTTGTTGAATATAGAAATTTTGAATAAATACAAAATAAGCTTAGGGCTATAGGCTATTTATTTTTTATCGCTGATATAAACATGTCGTCTAAGTATTTTAGTTATTATTATAATTCACAAATTTAGCATTCACAATGTTATATCAAAAAATATTCTTAATGAAAAATCCAATTTGTCCCTGGCACTCTGAGATAGGACTCAAACCCATGATCTTTCGCAAGCCGGGCAGCTCTAAACACTGAGCTATCCAGGACCTAACAGGATTGACGAATTTTTCAAGCACTTGTTACTTTTTCACTACCACAGAGCTTACTAAATATCGGAGTTAATCCTGTGGCCTTATTAAAGCGATTACATTTTAGATTAAAAAGTTGTTACTTCCAAAAAATGCAACATGCTGTCACGGGTTTTGGCTGTTGTGGTACCGTAATTATTCAAGTTACTCTGTATTCTTAGAGCATCGTTACTTATCTTGGAATCTGAGCAATGTATGTGATGACACTTATCTTGGAATCTGAGCAATGTATGATGTATATACACATACAAAATCACACATACAAATTGGTTAAGTGCGGAAAAAGGTAAACTGTGGTTAGAAGTTTAGAATGAAAAGGAGAGGTAAGCTCGCCCGCCCAGTGAGCGTAATACTTGAGTTCTTGAATATGTTTTAAATTATTGGAAAACTAAGTAATGTTGACTAATAATTATAAAACCGCTTATATAAGTACAGCTGGTTGAAGACAGCGGGAGATCGTGTTTTGTGGCGCACTTTGGGGGAGGCCTACGTCCAGCAGTGGACTGCAACGGGCTGATATGATGATGATGATTATATAAATAGTTCATGCCTATTAATACATATTATTCTTAGGAAAATGTTTTTGTTTGATTATCCTTTCAATTCACAACTGTGCCTTTGTGTTTGTGTGTGAAGGCTGCAGAATTACTAAGCTACTTTTAAGACCGAAACAGCTCTTAGATACCCTTTGAATCATGCGAAGCTCCTGGGTAATAATTAAAAA